TTCATATTTTAATTGAAATAGGCCACTACATTTCTATCTGCAATTATTAACAAAAGTTAACCTGACTGGCTCATTCATTGCATTTATCCTGGCAATGCCACGCAGGTACAACGTCCCACTGGGAGTTGGAGGCACTTTCGCACAGCAGTTTGAGCTACTTGGCTCTGAGTCCCTACGCCTTGCTGTTGGAGCTCGGTGCAAACACACCAACCGGTTCTGGATATGGCAAAGACTGATAAAACCCAGTTTAACCAGCTAAGCACTGCTGCCACCAGATCCAGGACAACTGGCAATCCCAGAGTCAGAGCAAGATAAGACAACAAAAAAAGCTAAGCAATGACTAAGAAAAATGGAAATAACCTATGTAACATGCTTCTGAGAACTGTAAGATTTACTACCTCGCAAAAACCCAGGACATACCTCTAAAAAAACAACCACACAAATTCACCAGCCTTTCTAAAACTGGACAAGGTCCTTCAATGCTTGATCTACTGACTGGGACTGCCATTTTTAATGCCTTTTTCCTTTCTGTAGAAGCTTGGTCCTTCCACTCTCTTTGCTTGTTCTCCATTTTCTCGCTCACACTATCTCCTCTATTCATCTATTGCCTCCCTAGATTTTACTAATACATTCATTTCAAATTCACAAGACGTGGAAACATCAAATATCCATTAGTTAGATGGCAAACCAAGTAACGTGTTATTTTCATTCTTTCTGCATGCCCAAACAGTCCAATCAAGAACGGTGAAAGCAGTTCAAAGGCAGCCCGAGGTGAGTTGTTGGCTTTGACACACCGCTTATGTGAGTTAGTTTCTTATCTGTAAAGAACTGCATTCACTCACGAAAGACTCAGAAATTTGATGAAGACCTGTGAAGGTACTCACCCCAAGCACTAACCACTGAGGCAGAAGAATGAGCCTGTGCTACCATCAGCTGAGGTCCCTGTTGTGACCGTGCTCTTAGATCATACTCACAAAGTGCTCTATTTTTCATGCAACATTTGAATTTCAGGAACCTTGTGAGGATTTAATTCCCAAGTCTCTAGAAATGGCAAACACTGCTTGTAATTAATAGGTGCAGGCACACAGTGTAGGTCCGCAGCAACGGTGCCAGCCCTGCTGACTACTGGTGCAAAGCTTGGTATCCCAAATAACATTACCCACCACTGATTTAGGTGAAATCAAGGTGGCT